GGCTTCACTGCTGTGGCCGAACTGCTTGCAGGTCCAGACACCGAGGCCCACCACAAAGCAAGGAAGCAGCCCAGTCACATTCTACAAGTCGTGCGTGGACATGTTTGTGAAGTCGGTAGCTGCCCGTTTCAATAATCACATCTGCCGGGGCAAGAGCACATCGCCTCTGCACCTGGCACAGGAGTCGGAAGGTCACCTTGGACATCCAAAGCCCCTTGAGGCGCATCGCAGAAAAGCGGCCGATATGTCTTCAGTGTAAGAGTTGAGGGGTGCTTTGCTGCAATTAAGATTATCTAAGGACTTTAGGAGGGACCCCTGATAGGGACCCTTAATCCCTACTAAGGGTCCCTCCTAAAGCCCTTAGATCCATGCAGAGATGCCAGATCGGGGTGTCAGGACAGAAGTCCTGCGGCGGAGGCGCGCAGACCTGACCCCATGCGCACCTGCCTCAAGTTCACGTGCCGATAGCAAGCTTGCTCGATGCCTTCTGTATAAGAATAGTAACGTTGGCCGCCAGGCTTTGAATTTGAGCATCCGAGGATGTCACGTTGAAGGTGAGCTGCAGGATGCGGGGAGGCATGGAGGGTACAAGGCTCCGGGTGAAACTGACCTGCGCAGACTCAGAGGCTCGGTTGCAACGGGCTGAAAGTCTGGGGTAGGACCAATCAGTGGTGCAATTTCTATACTTTCGCATCACTTCAGCTTTGGAAGGTGCAGCCAACTCAGATGGTACTCCCTCCCCAACAAGTCCAGCACTGACAAGTCCTCCTTCAGCTACAAGGCGCACTTTTTGGCTCTGCTCCCCACCTTCAGGGATCGAGGCACCCTTTGGCGCATTTTTCTGCACTGGGCACGCGCCGAGCGGCATTACATCACGTGTCCATGACCAACATTGAGTCCACCCCTGGGGCGAGTGTAGGCTGGAGTCTCACGCAAAGCTGGCTGTCGGTGATGCCATCGAGGTTTTCAGCAACTCCCGCATTTCGGCTGCTTTTGCCAAATGCACCTAGCAGGGCAGAACAGTGTCCTTCGCTCGAGGTCAGCTTTGGTGTTCGGGAGAAGTCAAATCCCTCGATTTGCACGGGTCCCGACCTTGGCGGTGCGGCTAGGGCTTTGGTGCAGATTACAGTACATATACATAAATATACCTAATATAGATATGTATGTACATATATATATATATATATATATATTTAGAGAGAGAGAGAGAGGTAATTAAACAGACTATACAAGGGATACTATTGCTAATTATACGTCGGTCTACCTATCTACCTATATGTATGTATCTCTCTATTTTCTGTCTATCTATCTATCTGTCTGTCCGTCCGTGTAGTATATACACACATACGTACATACATACATACATACATACATACATACATACATATCAGCGCGTTGCTTGGCCCATCGGTTGTATCCGTTCGCACTTGCAGCTGCCTGCACTTCTCGTTCAGGTTTTATATTCGTTGAGTGCCCTACTCGCTCCTGCTTGAACCAGCCCTTTCGTACAGCACGCTCCATTCGGCTATAGATGCAATCAGCCCAAAGAAGACACATCTCCCCCTCGCACCTGCCAAGTCCAACCTGATTAGGGGGCCAGCTGCATCCTTGTTCCCCCTTCGGCAGCACTTGTGGCTTTGTCATCCGCTCTTCCGGTGTTGCTACATCTGGCAGCTGCCCGCCCAATTTGTCGAGAACATCTTTCGCATCTGAGCATAGACGGTATCTGTCTTTGTGCCCTCGGCCTTCTCTGCCAGAGCCGAGACCCAAAACGATCGGGATCTCAAGACTGGCCAGCTTGTCCGGTGTCGAGCAGCGTCTGAGCAGATGATGACTAGTTGACTAGTCATACTCTCGTCCCACAGGAATGATTGATCTTAGACGAAACATGCTTCCCCGAAGGATCCTGCCCCGGGCATCCTTGCGGAAGGGGCAATATGGGAGTTTCAGAAAATTAGGGGTACCTTATGTTGGGGTCCTTAGAATAAGGATCCTATTATTTAGGGATATTTAGGGTACTATATTAGGGCCCCCTATTTTCGGAAACCCCCATATAGCGATATCAGTGACACTTAGCGGAGCTGGGCTGTTTGCTAGTTGAAATATATGCATATATATATATATATATTTATTTATTTATTTGTTTATTTACTTCTATATACACAATTCTCGCCAGATTTGATCGTCAAGGTCATTCTTCCATTTTTTACCTGGGCTTCGGCCTGGCAACATGGGGAACTCACTAGGTGTTCCGGCTACCGTTGCTCTGAAGAGTCACGGTGGCTTTCACTTATTCGCTTCCGCCTCATCGAGTCAGTAATTTGCTGACCTGGTGAGGTCTCCGCCTGCCGTGGAAGTGGTTTTCTGGATACCTGGCTCGCCAGACGTCGGCACTGGCGAGATGGCTGCGAAAAAGGCTAGGACCGGTCTTGGGGCGGCTTCGTTGGAATGGGGGATTGTGACCCTTTTCGCTGGTATCGCAGAATCAGCAAAATCTGTGCACGAGTTTTTAACGGCTCTGGCGTTCACGAGGGCTCTCGTCATCAGTCAATGCCAGGTGGCGCTGGGCTCCAAGGAGACCTGTTCCTGCCGTGGCTTCTGATTTTTGGATCCTGTGGCTCGTTGTTGAATACTGCAAAAAGTGGGAGGACTTGCGAAAGTTGCTTCTTGGCTGAAAGGTTTGGGTGCCGAGATGGGGAGACCGTGAGGTTTCAAACTGAGGAAGGGAGCCTCGGAAACCGCCGCCTGGTCCGTGGGAGACTGTGTGGAAGTGCCGGCCACTCTGTGGTTGTCAAGTCTCAGGTATCATCTCAATGCAGCCCCTGCTACCAGCTGAGGTTCAGCAACTCCAAGAGCTCTTGGTGCTCAGGTCGCATCACGCAAGTTTCCTCAGACAAGGCGCATGTCTCCATTGATTCGCCGTTGATAGTGACACAGGATGTCATTGAAGTTTGCCAGAAGATTTAGCTTCTTGAGATGGCTGGTGAGGTGAAGGTCGTGTACCAGCCACCCGGAGCATCAAACGACGACTGGCTCGAAAAAGAGCTGCTGGGCCAGCAGCTACCAGCTACTTCGAGTGTCGAGCATTCTGCTTAGCGGGGTGAAGATGTCTGAAGATCTAAGGCTACTGATGGGATCCGATGCATTGAGGAAAGTCCAGCCGTCGGAAGCGGACCTGCCGGTGAGCCCCAAGAGGAAGCTCGAGTGGAGTGAAGCCGAGGAGTCTGCATACAAGGTCGCCTTTTCGCAGCTGCGGCCCAAGAAGCAAACTCCCCAAGTGCTGGATGCGAACGTCCTCGCCGAGTACTTGAAAACCTCGAAGCTTCCAAGGAAGGTGCTGAAAGAAATTTGGAAGGCTTCCGTGAGGTCTTCCACCCAAGCAGACTTCGAGGAGTTTGGAGCCTGTTGCAGGCTCGTGGCACATTGCCAGAAAGCCCTGAAGGAGCGCGACCAGGCGACCATAGAAGTGATGGAACAGGCAGGTACACAGCTCAGGCAGCTGGTCCTGGAGAAGTTCATGGAGGAAGCCCCGACGACACTGCCTGATTTTTATGGCGGACCAGCGGGCTCAGGGCACTGATTGGACCGGGAGAAGAACAATTCCGAACCTACACCTCCTCGATAACGCGACAAGGCAGCCGGAGCGTGGCGATCGACAACCCTGGACTTGCACTGAACCAAGACACGATGCACTGAGAGTGCCGCATGAGCTACGGCGTCACCGCAGGCCCTCAGCGACTTCTCGGGTTGGCGTGCGTCGCCGTGGACCACAGCCGGCTGTCAGAACCGTGGACTCAAATGCATTCCAAAAGGATGTCGTGGCTGTCAACATAGCTGTTGATGCACAACCCAAGTAAGTACTGAATGAGTTGACATGGCTCCTGCAGCACGAGCAAGCCGTGATTGGCAGACGCAGAGCTGTGGCTGTGGGCTCGGATGCGGGTCACCCATGATAAGGAATCATATTCGCAAGTCCAAACCTGACTGTCCTAAAACCCTCCGCTTAGTCTGCTTGAACTTGGTAACAAGTTCCCAATGAATAGCATTCAATGAAGCATATCAACTCCATCTTGGCTAGTCTGCTTTGCAGCTAAGTTTTGCCACAAAATTCAAATCAACCTCACCGTGGTTCAAATCAGAAGAATTCCAAGTTAAACTCTCGTCGGAGATCGACTAATCTTGAACTGGCAGAAACGAGTACAAGTCTTGTTGGAAACAGGCTAATTTCGATGATTTTGGCGTGTGCTCGATGCAAGAAACAAAACCTTGAAATCTACTAGCATGGCCAGAAGACAGACAGTCGCAGCACTTAGTGGGACGCCTAAAAGCAAGTGGCAAATAAGCCCGCAAAAAAGTCTGACATCAGTGACAATGGTTTGCAAGACAAGCGGAGGCTCCGCATGGAGTCGAGCAGTTTAGCACACTTTGAGGCCTGTAATGCCTTGGGCAGACTTGTTGTTAGACAACAGTTACCGGACTTTCTTGCAGGCCTTTGGCTCAGGCTGTTGCGTGATCATGGGCCTAGGAAACCAGGCTATCACCGCGACAGCACGAGGGAGATCGACAACAGCTTGGTCTGACGCACACAGACACGCTTCAACTAACTAGTATATACATATACATATATATATATAGAGAGAGGTGTACATCAGTTTGCATATAGTCAGGAGCACTCCACACGTACAGTCCGATTGGCCGAACAGGGTAAGAGACATGCCCGCGGAAACTGAGCTGGCTCAGTTGCAGGACTGCTCTCGGCCGAGTGTGTGTGTCTTTCGCATTTTGGCACGTTGTGCTTTGCAGCAGTGACGGCGCTGTGGGCTCGAGCCAAAGTCCGGTTGACTTTGCAGCATACGACCGAGAGACGCAGCTTTCCTTTGCCAGTGCTCGTGAGCCTGATGGAGGTCCGGCCGGGGAGAGCTTGCTGCTGTTGCGACCCTCCTGTCCCAGATTTAGTCGAACGGCTCGCAGCCTTGCAGGCATCGGATGAAGCGGATGGCATGGCGGCACGCCGCAAGTTCTGCGTGCCGCTCTTCATCCCCTCCTTGCTGCAAGGAAAGAGTACAGCAGCACGACGCTCAGAGTGGCGGCAGATTAGATGACTCAACGACTGTCAAGACTGTTGGGCGTTTGCTGTCAGCGTGGGCAAGCGATTTCGTGGAAGGTGGTGACGCCGATGCTTCCAATCTTCATTCAGGAAGAGCTTGGGGGAGTGGGCCCCGGTTGCGGCAAGCTGCAGGCGACCCAAAAAATTAGAAAGATGATCCTTTGCAGATTCGAGGAAGCGTGGCCGACGTCGGGCTGGTGGCTTCAACCTATGCCCTGGCGCAAGTGGCAACTTCGGTGCCTATGGGCTTTGTCCTAGCCCACTTCAACCACAGGTTCGCTTGGGCTTTTTTCGAGCTTAAGGCACTGCCGTGCATGTGAACATGGACTTTTCGTCGCAATGCCAGGCAGTCTTCGATGGCGGCTCTCGCTGTTTGTGTGCTGCACCTCGCCTGCAAACAGGCTGCAATTGCACGTGCACAGTGCACAGGAGGAAGACGAAGGCCGAACACGAAGGCTGATCACACTGCCCTTGCAACCTGTTACCATTCTCAACTCTAAACCCTTTGTGGGCCCCAACCGCAGAGACAACTATCGGCCCGAGGGGGCACTCCCTTTCACATCGCCGATTCGCAGGACGTCCCTTCTGGCGTGTCAAAGTTCGAGCATCGTTCAGTTGCTGCTGATCCGCCTCTCGGCTCAGCCTGCGCGAATCCCCGTAATTAGCAACTTGAGTGTCCCACCGTGTTGGAGTTGTTTGTTGAAAGGTCGGGCCGTTTGTTTAGTTGTCCGCTTGTTGGCACGATCATCGAGAGACCTGCTCTTGGTTTCAATGGCAGCTGGTGCACCGTCAAGCCTGATTGCCGCGTGATGCGCATGAGTGGAAGTTCGCTTGTGCCTGTCGCCGCCACTGTGCTTGCACTTGTTGCAGCCATTTTTGCGCACAGCAAGCAGTTAGAAGAGCAAAGTGGGAACTAGCCATCGACTGTCGTGAGCATGAAGGTTTGTCTCGCAGCTGTTGTTGCTGCGGCCTTCACCGCGACAGCGATGTCGCAGGACTCTCCCGCTGAGCTCCTTCGTGAATTGCAGGCCCAGAAGGCGTTGTTGGAGGAGCAGCGAAAGGAGCTGAAGCAGATGACCGAAACCCAGGAGAGCATGGCTGGTGCCATGGATTCAGCGTGGCTGGTCCTTTGCGGAGCGCTGGTGATGTTCATGCATGCCGGGTTTGCAATGTTGGAGACCGGCTGCTGCCGGGCAAAGAATGCCTCGAACGTCCTGATGAAGAATCTAGTCAATGTGAGTGTCTAGGTGGCACTTTGGGAAACGTTTAAAATTTCACTTATTGTTCTTACACAGGTACCTTTCCGGAAATACTTTCGAGGGCCCCAAAACAACAACCCAGGTGTTGGCACACTTGGTTGGTGGATGTTTGGCTGGGCCCTTGCCTATGGCTCTCAAGCCGGGTCTTTCATTGGCACAGATGGCTTTTTCGGCCTGGGCTTCTACACCAAAGATGCATCGGGCAACATCGTTCGCATGCGCGAGAGACCCCTCCCACAGGGGCATGCGGGCCACCGATGGTGGTGCGAAGTTCTCTCAACGATCTGCTGCCGAGTCATCTTCTTTCTCTTCTTCATGGGCAGCATTGTGAACAATTCGATCGGGCACGCTATCAAGGGCTGCCCGCACATGCAGTTCGAGGGCTTCGGTGAGGCCCGCGTCATCTTCTTCTCATTGCCCCAGTCCTCAAGAAGCCCATGAAGACCTTGCAAAAGTCTCTCCGTGCGCTTGCGGCGCGTAGCGCTGGAGCCGCCTGCGCCCCCACGGAGCGGGTCACGGCCAGCACCGCCACAAAGAAGATCGCAACCAGCATCGGGAGCCAAAGCGGCCAACTGGCTCAGAACGGGCCCGGCTCCACATCCATCCTCAGCGAAGGCGCCGCAGCCACAGCCACAAGCCAAAGCACCCCAGCACCCAGCCAGAGCATTGCAGCAGCCACAGCCACAAGCCAAAGCGCCCCCGGCCCCAATACCTCCACATACACATAAGGCAACATCGTTCCTGTGGAGTGTGACGAGGGGAACTGCCAGTCTACAATGCTGAGTTGGTTCTTCCAGTGGGCCTCTTGGATGTTCATATTCGTAACCTTTGTTTGCATTCTGGTTCTTGTTCCTACCAGTAGTATGACAAACATACCATAACTAGCCCGAAACAGTAGATACTTTTTCGCTGTGGGTTACTGAACAGCCCAGGCATTCTGCACAGCTGGCACCAACCTGAGTTGTCGTGTCCTCCTATTGAGACGTGATTCTCATAACACGGGTTTCCCCAGATTGACCAGAGTGCATTCGTGTTGGAACCCAGGCGCCACCATCGTGAGCGGATGCGTGGCGGAGCGTGTCAAGAGTCCCACCTATGCTTTCTTCGCGTTCTGCATGACGAGCTTTATTTACCCAGTTGTTGTCGCTTGGACCTGGGGTGGCGGCTGGCTCGCCAGCATCTTCGATGTGGGCTACATGGATTTCGCCGGATCAGGACGATAGGGCGGGAAAAAGCACCTAAACAGAAGCTAGTACCTAAGATTCGAGAACCTTCCGGCTCCCGCAGGTGTTGTCCATTTCACAGGAGGCGCTTGCGGCCTCGCTGGCACGGTCATCCTTGGCCCCCGCAGGGGACGCTTCGAGAATCCCGAGGAGTTCGAGTACCACAACGTCCCACTGAGACCTGTTTGCACACTTCCCACGGCCACAGAAATCATCATGTGCGATCTTTACATGTGTGTATGCTTTATGTGTATGTTTTAATGAAATCATGTAGACATACGTATGTCAAAGAGCAACTGAGGGTCGTGCTCGGAACCTTCGCACTCTGGTTTGGCTGGTATGGCTTCAACCCAGGCTCCACCCTCTCGATGCACGATAAGGAGATGGGTGCCCTTGCAGCGCAAGTGGCCATGAATACCACTCTCTCCGCTGCCACCTGTGGGACCACCGTGTTCCTGCTGAAGTTCGTGCTCGTGCGCAAGTACGATGTCGGCGCGCTTTGTAACGGCATTCTTTCGGGCTTGGT